AGGCGTAGCCGCTGGTGACGGAGATGGAGCGGGCACGGCGCTGCAGGCTCTGGATCACCTTGTTGGCATTGAGCAGCTGTGCCTTGAGGTCCTGGATGTGCTGGTGCAGGGCGCCCACGTCTGCTGGGGCCACAGCTTTCCGGGCAGCCTTGCCTGCCTTCAGCATCCCTGGCCGGCACGGGGACCCTGGCTCCTCGCCCATGCTGGGCTCGCTGAATACGTCCGGCTCCTCACACTCTGCAGAGAGGACGGGGCACAGTGTCACTTCTCCATGCCAGGTGGGCAAGGCACAGGGATTCCCAGAACCCTCCCTCTCCTTACCGGGGCTGGTGGTCTCGTCTCGGTCAGCCTCAGTCTCACTTCGCCCACACGTCTCGTAGCCCAGGTCCTGAAAGTCCACCTGCACTTGCTTGCTGAGCTGCTGGGCGTGGGGTTCACCTGCTGGGCAGCTCCATCAGCTCAGGGTCCCCCTCCGGGCAGGATTCACCACCCCTGCCCAGTGTACAGCACAGTACACAGGGCATGCCAGGCTCAGCCCAAACCCCCCATTCTACCCAGGGTTTTAACTCACGGAGCAGGACGTGGTACTTCTCCAGCTGCTCAGCTTGTGCCCGCACCGTGGCCTCCGAGGCGACAAGCTTGTCCTGCAGCTCCTGGCACAGCCTTTGGCCCTGTGCCACCTGGGAGCACAGCTCTGTGCCCAGCCCCAGCCAGCCCTTGCCAGGGACCGTGCCCTCTGCCTGCCAGAGGGGAGATGGGCTGTGAGAGCCTTTCCATCCCCATCTCTATCCCCATCCTGGTCTCCTGTGCCCAGGGCACTTACATGGCTCCCATCCCTTCCTCCTGGGGTACCAGGGCAGGGTCTCTTGGGCATGTCACCCTGGGATCTTGCCTCCAGTGCCGGACGTTTGGTGGGCACAGCTCCCCTTTCTGTCGGAACCCCCTGGCTATCCCCACTGCTGCCAGCTGGGCGGTCCCTGAGGGTGCTGCGGCTCTTCTGCTGCAGCCTGCGGGGCTCAGGGGCCAGGGGGCTGCCCAGCCCAGCCTCCTCCTGCTCCCCACTCTCCAGCAGCGACGTGGCTTCACCCATCCGTTCCTTCAGCTCCGCATTCTCCAGGCACAGGCTCAGCATCGCCTTCCTGGGGACACAAGGCACTGTGAAGGGCAGGCAGGGGCCGGGATGCAGGGTACCCCCCTCAAGTCACGGCCACCATCTGGCTCCGATGTCCAAGGGCTCTTGCCTGATGTGGGAGACAGAGGAGAAGCCGGCCAGCTGCCCCTTCAACTCCCGCAGCTCCTTTTCTGCCTGCAGCTCCTGCTCCGGCACGGCGGGTACTGTGCTCCCCATCAGGGTCCTTTCAGTGCTCCCACTTTCCTTAGGGGCCCGGATGCTGCTCTAGAGGGACAAAGACAGAGAGTGACAGGGACATTTCCAAAGGGGCTAGGACACCATCCTGCAGCAGTGCAGTGCCCAACTCTGCCACCCCTGTTCCCGGCACCACGCTGCCCTGACTCACATGCTGGGTTGCCGCACCGTGCGCTGCCTCCTCCTTGATGCTGTTGGTGAAGTTGGCGCTGGCATCATCAGCATCTGCGCCTGTGGCCTGACCTAGGGGACAGCACAGCACAACAAGGTGCTCAAAGCAGTGGCAACGGCAGCACTGCTTCTGTCCCCTCCTCCCTGGTGATGCCCGTGGCTACTTTGGGCTGCCCCAGGGCGGGTGCTTGGTGCTGGGGCACACGCAGCAGGACTGCGGTCTCCCCACTGTCCCTATGCCCTGCCACCCCCTCTGCATGCTGGAGCTCCAACCCAGCACCCTGTGCTGGCTCTGCACCAAGGACAGGGGACAGCCCCAGCTGCCTGCAGCCCCAGGGATGCCACCTGCCCAATCCACATCTCTGGCCTCACACCACCTCGTGTTTGCTGCCCCAACACACATGCCATCCACCCTGCAGCCACTTCACAAGCTCCAGCCAGCAGCAGCAGCATGTGCTGGGTCAGAGAGCCTCGCTGGCACTGCCCCGGTGCATGGGGGTGCAACCCACACGACCCCCCTGCCCGGGCAGGGCACCGACAGCCACTCTGCCCATGCCACTCAAGCCCTGCTGTCGTGCACGGTACTGGGCTCTTTGCAAGCCCTGCGCTGGCCTTGCAGAGCTGCAGCAGAGCTAAAGGGACACTTGCATCCCATACCACAGTGCATAGGGGGCTTGGGCCCATCCTGCCCCACAGAGTTGAGCTGGGGGCACACTTTTCTGCTTGCACACAGCTCTGCTCATGGCTCCTTGGTGCAGAGCCTCAAGCGAGGGCTTGTACCTCTTCTCTGGGCAGCTTTCCTCCCACCCAGCTGCAGGGCCCTGCCTGGTCTGTTTAGGCTCAGACTGCCTGGGCTGGGACACAGGTGTACCCCCAATCCCTCTTCTCCCCAGGGAGAGGGGAGCTTGGACCACCCCCTTGAGCTGTGCAGGGCCAGGTTTTGCAGCTGTCTGTGCCCCACAGGACATGCAGCTGCTTTGCCCATGCCCAAACCCATCACCATCAGGTCTGGAGCTTGCAGGCAAGGCTGAACATGGAGCAGCGGGATGCAGAGAAATCCTGGCAGGAAAGAGGCCAAAACATCACTGGTGAAGGAGAAGCCAGCAGGGAAGCATACGGCTCCGGGTAGGGAGAGCCGAGGACCAGCCAGGAGCTCGCCCTGCAGCAGGGCAGGCAGTTGCACAGCATGCTGTGCACATGGAAGGTGGCACGCTCAGGAGACCCACTCGTGACAAGCAACTACCAGGAGGTTGCAAAAATCAGGGGCACCTCACTGCCGAGCCTGGGCAGATATCACTCTGCACAGTGGAGCCTGATCACGGAAACAGCTGTGCCCCAGGGAGCAAGGACAGCTGTCACGGAGAAGCGCTGTTCCAGGAGCAAAGCAATTAAAGGCAGCTGGAAGTGACAACAGCACCTCACTGGAGAAGCAGCTCCCCATGGGTGGCATTCAGCACAGCCAAAGCGCAGCCCCGTGAGCCCCTAGGGACACAACCTGCCAGGTGACAAACCATCCAGGGCTACAGCTCAGTGCCCACAGGGTCCTGAAGGGTGAGGGGATGCGGACCCTCAGCTGCAGGCTTTGCTGGGGCGAGGGGGGCACTGAGGGCCATGTGCACATGGCTCTCAAGCTGGGTCACCATGGCTGAGAGGCCAGGGCAGGGCAGCTCAGAGCCAGCACAGCTGCTCTGGGGACACAGGATAACCACCTCTTGTGCGAGAACACAGCACCCCACTTCTCAGCCTTGCCCACAGCTCTGCATGCCCTCCAGCACCGGGGCAGAAAAAGGGAGTGCAAATCTCAAGGGGAAAAAAAAAACCAAAACAAAACATGGGAGGAGGAGGAGGAAGCTGGCGCTGGGGGAGCAGAGAAGTGTGCATGCAGGGCAGACTGCCCAAGCTGCTCTTCCCTGAGTGCTTGAGCCCTCCATAGCAGCAGGAGCACACCAAGGTGTGAATTCAAAAGGGAGAGGGGCTGCTCAGCTGTCTGTGTATTACCAGCAAAGGAGATAAGAGATGTAACCCCAGCACTATTTTTCAGAGACTCCTCTGTCTTTCATATCTAGCCTGAAGGCAAGGAGAATTAATTGCATGGCTTGGAAATTGCACACGGCCCACAGGCACAGGACACCCAGGTGCATTGGCTGCGCTGGAAGTCTTCATGCTGCTGGGAACAAGGGAAGGGAAGGAAGATTCCCCAGGGAAATTGAGAAAAGACCTTCACAAAGAGCTATGAGACAGCACAAAACACTGCACAGTTTGACAGAGAAGGCTCTCCGGCATGGGATGCTCAGGCTGGTCCTCCTGCAGGGCAGAGGAGTGCACAGCCAGGGATATCAGGGATGAAAGGAGGCCCTAAAGAACAGAGCAGAAAAGCTGGGACACCTCAGCCTAAGATAATGCTCCTCTGTGGGGCACTTTACAGCAGGGATGGCAGAGGCCAGGGACAGATCTGCAGCAAAACACACACAAGAAGAGATGGGAGCTGCTGGAGCATCAGCCAAGGCTTCTCTCATGCCAGGCCAATGACTCTGTGCTGGGTCCTGGGCTCCATGGTACCCAAGGCACCAGGGAGCCAGCTGGGCATCAGAGCCAGGATGGAGAAGGGAGGATGGAAAGATAAGGACAGGGACACAAAGGCTCCTACAAAGTGAGAGGCAGAAGGAGAAAGAGAAAATGGTGCTACAAAGTGAGAGGAAGGGAATGAGATGAAAGACAAGAAAGGAAAAGCTAACCAAGTACCAGAGCTGCCCAGCAGCCACCAGCTGTGTCCCTTCAAGCCACATGAGAACTGCTGAACTCACCACACAGCTAGGTGCGGACCCAGAGGAGCAGTGCTGACCTGCTGCGTGTGAAGGGAGAGCTGTGCTCCCTCCCATCCCTGTCTGAGGCAGGGAGGAGACGACCTCAGCAGGAGTGCAAGGCATGGGATAGGTGGTGCCATGGGAAGCAGTCAGAAGGAGATGGGCAGCAGAGCAGTCACAGGTCCAGGTAGTGCAGCCCAGTGAGATGGAGCTCTTCTGCTCCACCCACTCCTAGTTCAGCTTCCCCAGCAAGCAGAAACAGATGCTCAGAGGTACAAAATTTGCTCCTTCCACCTTGGGAAGTCATCAGGTATGACACAGCTGATCCTCAGAGGTACAAAATTTGCTCCTTCCACCCTGGGAAGTCATCAGGTATGACACAGCCTGCTACATATGGGAAGCGCTGGTCATCAGAAAGCTGTTGCTGTTGTTTTTCAGCTCTCATGCCAGCCCCAACACTCCCGGAGGAGGTGAAAGATGCCCTAGAAAAGGTATGCAGTGGTGCCAAGTGGGACCGTCCCCAGCAAAGCAGGAAGCGCTGGTCATCAGAAAGCTGTTGCTGTTGTTTTTCAGCTCTCATGCCAGCCCCAACACTCCCGGAGGAGGTGAAAGATGCCCTAGAAAAGGTATGCAGTGGTGCCAAGTGGGACCGTCCCCAGCAAAGCAGAAATAGGGCCCTGCCCATTGCCCAAGGGGCGTGTGAAGCCTGTGAGTCAGATGTGTGCGTACAAGTCGGGGAGCAGACCCAGCCCAGACCCTGGCAGCAGGGACAGGTCTCAGTCACCCCAAATCATCTGTCAAAAAGAAGAGGAAGCTCTCCCTTGAAGGCACTTGCAAGCTAGGCTGAGACAGCTTACAACTGGGGGGGGAGGGAAATAAAAAATCATCAATACTAAAGTAGTAATCGGTTTAAGCATAAAATGCATCGTTGGTTCTACATTCAAACTCGTGTAAGAGCCCCAGACAAGTGCCACCAGGTGTTGTGGCCCTTCTCAAATTCTCTGGCTCTGGAACCCACTTTTCCATATATACCTTCTCCTTTTGGGCCAGCCACCATCAACCCAAGAGGGGGATGCCACTAGGTAAGAAAAATGGTGAAGGAATACAAAAACTCACACTCATGCACTTGGGAGATGATAGAAAACATTTGGTGTTTCCTTCAGAGAAAGGGAATCTTTATTTGGCCCATGGCGGTGGGAGGAGAAGGGAGGTAGAGGGAAATCAACTAAAATGGAATGATTTGAATGTGCAAATACATCAGTGGCCACCAGGGTGGGTCAGACAGGAACACACACGAGACACAGGTGGATTGCACTGATCGCCGATTCCAAAGCAGCTCAAAAACAAAACAAGAAAGCCCTGCACCAGTTCTATCGTACCATTACTAAGTACCAAAGCAACCCTCCCAGAGTCAGTGAGACAGGCTCGCTCAGTTAGTGAACCGTTTCCGTGGCAGGCGGGCGAGCGCCAGTGCTCAGAAGGCATGCTGGGGTAGGACTCTCACACGCTCCTGTTCCCCACCTCCTATGGCGCCCTGTGTCTCCAGCCTGCTCAAACGCTCCAAGCTTCTTCCAAGAGCTTCTTCCAGCTGTCCCCGGAGTTCGTGGACCCCCTCCAGCTCCACCTGCAGAGTGTGGTCTCTCGCAGTGCTAAGCAGACACGCCGCACAAAAGGGAAGAGGGTTAGACAGGCTGCAGCAAGCGCACACCAAATCGGCCCCTCCATCCAGGACTGCCACTTACTCCAGGCACGGGCCCTGCACACTCCCCAGGCAGCTCAGCCACCTCTTGCTTCACCTCTAAACCTCCCCAGAGCACAGCCATCCCCAAAAAAGGCTCCGGCCCATGGCAGGGGACTCCTAGTCACAGCTGTTCTTCAGTACTTACCCAAGCACTCCACTTATTTGCTCTCTTGCTATCAGGTAGCTCAAATATCCCAGAGGCTGCAGCCCCATGAAGGGCAGGGGATTAGTGCAGAGAACAGAGAATGCAGGCCGTACTGCGCTGTGGGACAACCGCCTGGATAAGCACCTAGATAGATCCTTGTCAACACAACAGTTGGTTGGGAATTTGACAGCAGCCTCTGAAAGGTGGTCAAGTGTGGCTGGGAAACTGAGCTGGAAAGGGATAAGCCAGGGAACAGAGATGGAAATCCCAAGGCCTGAACAAGAGGTGGCAATGGAGCAAGTTTACATAGCATTTAAAACTGGCCACTGCAGCCTCTTCAAGGGAAGAAGGCAGCCTAAAACTTGGACTCCCAAAGCTGCAATTGTCCGATTCTTTGTCTAGGCTACTACTTTCCCACTGAGGGCTCTCAGACTTGCAGAACGATTACTGCTTCAGGGATTGCCCCACTGGACCACCCACGCTTGCCCCAGCAGCGGAGCAGGGCAGCACGGAGCCAAGGCAGCCTCACTTACCTGTCTGGGTGCATGTGAAACTTCACCAGGCTGCCATAGAGCTGCCTCTCTGCCTGGAGAGCCTCATTTAACCGATTTCTTTCAGCCACCAGCCCTTCCAGCATCAGTAACAACTGGTTGGAGAGAAGAGACAAGATGCAACACTTAGAGAGACAGAAACCAAAGGAGGCACCTAGCTGCCTCAGAGAAATAGGAGCTTCCCCTTCCTCTCTTGCTTGTGTCCAAGTGATCAAGCTGATCAGTGTCACACCTAGACTCCCAAAAGACTGCCCTCAAAACAAGTGCTAAAGGGAACCAATCCTCTCCTCCATATTCCCCCTATCATACACAGAACAAGTACATCTCAGCATGTCCAAAGGCTGAAAACAAAGTCTCATAACTGAGCATCAGAAGAAATTAAACACATCCAAGCTTGCCCCACATGGCACACTACCTGCTGCCTTCTGTTTCCAGTAGCCTCCTGTCCTCGTGACTCTGCTATGGCCACTTTCTCCCGAAGCACCAGCACCTCTTGTGTCAGCCTTTCCATGGCTGGAATTTCTTCAGGATCCACCAGCTGCATCTGCAGATTCTGAAAACCAACAGCAGGAGAGCTCTGTGAAGAAGGGATCAGTAACAAGGACAGCTGGACGTTCGTAATCCTCCCTGGAACGCAACTGCCAAAAGTTTCCAGTGTTTGGAAAGACCCAGGTCTCCTAAGACAGAAATGCCAAAGCACCCAGAGTGTATTCAGCACAGAAAACAGCCTGGAGGAAGAACTGAGAAGGGACACAAACCACTCTGTTTAAATGACTCTTGAAGAAGGGTGTTTCGTACACAAGGAGTAAAAAGCCAGATAATCACACTCTGGGGTCTGGGGCCTTTGCCTTCTGGCCAACGTAACACAGAGGACTGTAGGCAAACCAGCAGCACTGTCCGTGGCCAGCCAGCCACATTACTCTGAGGATGTGGGGAAAGAAGAGAGTCCTCTGCAGCCCTCCCAGGCGGAACTGACCCAGCATAACATGTTATCTCACCTTGATGAGGTCCTCTCTGATCTGAATGGTCCTGGTCAAGGACTCTATATCTGAGGCCTGCACCTGCAGCTCTTCCTCCTGCGTGGCCACGACGGACTGGAGAGCAGTGAGCTCCCGCTAGGGAGGGAAGAGAAGTCCACGTGAGACTTTGGAAAGCCAACACCCCACTGCAAGCTGCTACCCTGTTTCTCTCACTGGGGATACCCTCACAATAGCAGGGTCCAAAACCTCCAGTGAGGGGCAGCGCAATGGTCTCCTGTAAGCAAGGGAGATCAGCACAGGCTCCATCACAAGCTCACCCTGCTTTCCCTTTCCTTCTTCGCCATTAGTGCCAGCTCCTCTTTGGCATTAACAAGATCCTTCTCCAGTTCTGCTGCTGACGTTGTAACTGCAAAGACAGCCTGATTACTGCAGGGATACCATTATGTCAGCTCTGACCCCAGGGATCAGACAGAATCCCTCTTTGGCAAGATAAGTCCACAATGCTTGTACTCCCCATCACACTGCCTCTTAGTAAACACTCTTCTTCCTTGCCTGATCCTTAAACAGCAGCCCAAAGCAACAGCAACATCCCAGGCCTCCTGTCCTACCCCGGCAAACTTCAGGTGTCCTGGCCCCAAGGCAAAACCCAAACCAGTTGCACTTGTCTCAGCCCAGCCTGAACCATAAAGTCAAAAACCTTTCACTGGTCAGGATCAGCTCTTCAGTAGAAGCACCTCACCTCAAACCGGACACCAGCCTTTCTCTTTCCCATACTCCCATCCCCAGACATCCCTGAACCATAACCCAAAGAGGAGGCACAGCTTTATTTCAAAACACTCACTCTTGCTCAAAGCTCTTTACTCTCTCCCAGTTTCATGGAACCATGTTTCCGCCACAGCAAAAAGCCCTGGGCATGTTTGAGGACCTTGAAAGAAGCTGTCACCACACTCACCTCCCTCTGTTCTGCAGTTGCTGTCGCCCTGTGGGGGTTCGGCAACGGCTGTAGCTCCACAAGCTCTTTGCAGTATTTCCTGAAAATACAAAAGCCTCCAGGTTTGCACCTTTATGGGGAACCTAGAAATTGCAGCTTCCCCAGAGCTCCAGGATCGCAGTAAAGCTGCTGGGTGCTTTATTGACGCCTCTGAACTGTGACAAACCAATGAAGGGGATCTAGCCAGGCAGTGGGGACAAGTGAATTGCACCCAACATAGAAGCTGTATGTGTGTGCAACAGGGTGCTGGCCTTGTTTAATTTGGCACTGGGAGGTTGCTGGCAGTGAGTGTCTTCACACTAAGGATTAAACAGGTTTCACTCAACTGCAGCAAACCCATCTTTCCACTGAGATTCTACAGAACTACATCTTCATCAAGGGCATGGCCCAGAGGGACCATGCAGGAAGGAAAACACAGAGCTTGGCCCATATACACATCACTGGAAGTCTCTAGAGCTCACTTTGATCCTAGGAATAGAAACAAGCAACCTGTTTACAGCTGCTTAAAAACGTTCAACATACAGCTCACCAATAAACCATTAACAGCTGCTCAAGTAGGGGCATAGCATATGCAGCTTCGGAGTTGTGTTCAGCCTCAAAGGGGTTTTTAGCAAAGCTGCTTTAAAAATACCAACTCCAATTGTGGAAGCGACAGCAAACAGCCAGCAGGCTCTGCCAAGAATTAGTGGGACCTAAAATTAGCTCTCTTGTCCCCTCCAGAATGTGACAATGTCAGGGAGGGGATTACAATACAGTGAGGCAGCCCAGCCCAAGGAAGGACTGGGTCAGTGCTGGAAGGTCAGAGGGTGGATTTCTTTCATACTTTCACATGCCCTAAGGACTCAAATACTGCCTGATCAAAACGAAAGGAGACACTGAATGACAAAGGCTGGTGGAATCAAGATCAGAACATCCAGGCAGCATTTCTGCTCCTCAGTTTCTTCTCTTCCTCCTATAGGAAGTCTCTTCTCTAATCCCACTTCCATTTCTATCATTCTCTGTGGTGCTCCACTCTGTCCCATTTCCTTCTGTGGCAACCAGTTCTCTCTGGAGACCCGAGGCCACAGGCAGAGAAACACTGTGCACGATTCTTACTTGTATGGGCTGTTTGTCCTGCTTCAACAGCCTTGCACCAGCTGACTGGGTCCCGACAGGCTCCTTCCCCAACACGTGCTGGCGTAGGAGTTGTAACTCGCAGCTCCTTTCGGTCAAAGCGTGCGCCATCTTCTCAGCAGCCACCTGATTGAGTGGGAGAAACAGAGGAAGGCAGGGCTGTGACCAGGGGTAGGATCCCTGTCCCTCACCTTTCATAGAGATTAAGGGAAACCATCTCAATATTTAACTGCCACTTGAGACTAGAAGTGCTCTGCAAACCAGCCTGGGAGCTACTGCTCCTGGCCACTCACAGCAACTCCACTGCAGCCCTCCCATCTCTACTTGCCAGACAGCTGCAGCAGGGCTCAGCCTCTACCTACATAGGAACAAGCTCCTCAGTTTCTCTCACCCCATTCAGGAGGGGAGAAAGACAGCGGACAGACAACGAAGAGGAGGCAGTGTCTAGCCTTTTAGCTTCCTTTTTATGAAAGGACACTCTTGGGTAACACTGAACTGCACCCAGTGTGCAAGAGTAGGCAGAGTAGGAACTGTGGCTCTTTAAATGTCATTTACACGCCCCAGACCATGCACTAGTTTGCCTAACGCATAAGTTAAAAGGCAATGAGCAGAGCTTCCTCAGACTTCTGTGCTACACAGGAAACAGCTCAGAGTCTTCCCTTCTGGTCTGGTAACAGCCACGTGAAGCAGTGACCCTCCCAAGACCCCTCTGCTTGCCCCAAGCCCAGGAACACACATATCTAGGAGGATCTGCACCTCCTTCCCCAGCACACACACAAACTCTGCCCAGTCCACTTAATGACAGGGACTTGACACCTGAACAACACAAGAGCTGCTGCTTCATAACTGCTCCCACATGATGGGTTGAGACCATCCTAGAAACAGCTCATGGCATCTCACGTGGCTCTTCAACACTCAGCAGCTCCACCAGGCTACGCCAACAGCAGCCAGAGAGCAGCTTCTATTCGCTTAATGCAAGGCAGAGCCACCCACCCCAGCCTCCTCACTGCAGCGCTGCACACAACTCACTCTGCTCTGCTGTTCCTTGGTGCTCAGGGCCTGCAGCAGCTCCCGGATTTCAGCATCATGCTCCATGGTCTGACGGTTCCTGTCACTGAGGAGATCCTGCAGCATTTTCTCCTTGTGCTGGAGACGCAAGCACAGCTCCTCTGCTACCTCACTCTGTCCTGGGCCCAGCTTGCACAGCAGAGTTGCTGTAAGCTCCTGAACAAGGGGGAAGAAGGGAGAGATGGAGAGACGTTGCTACCATCAAACTGCAAGATGTTCCAAGGATGAACAGAGCTTCAGCCTGGGTGTAGCTGAGAGCAGCGTCTCAGCAAGCACAGGTATTTACAGGCGTCAAAAGCAGCCAGCTTCCAAAGCACTGGGCACAGGTTCAAGTGCCCTCCTCAGAGGCAGGCAGCCAGAAGGCCCTGGTTTGGGACCACTCGCTCTGCAGGACAAACTGGCTGAAGGCTCAGGAAGCCAAGCTAAGGTCTTACCTCCACTTCCTTGTTCCTATCATGCAGGCAGGTCTGCAGCTGCTGGATGATCCCCTCCTGCTCCTTTTGCCTGCTGCAGGACTTGGCCTCGATCTCCTCCTTGAGCCAGCGCAGGTTTTGGCAGGTTGCTGAGACCTGCTCTAGTTCCAGGGTTTTGGCTTTCAGGAGGCTCTCCAGGCTCTAGGGATGACAACAGAAGCAGCTCAACCAGGGACAGAGATTTTATCCTGAATTAAGCAGAACTAGAAATACCAGTCTCTCCTGCTAGTGGAGTCAAAGATTCACCCCGTCCTCTCCAGACACCACACTCACCTCTACACCCAGCCCAGAAACACCCGTGACCCAAGAACTTGCCCTGCACACAGAGCCAGAGGAAGGCCAACACCCTGCAGCTGCTCTCCCCAGCAACAACCAGAGCACTCACAAGAAGGTCTGTCTAGCACCACACCACAGCCAGGTTGGACTCTGCACGCCCAGGTACAAGCACTCACATGAATAGTGGCCTCGTTGCTGGACAGGACATTGCGCAGTCTCTCTAGGTCACTTCCACGCTCCCTTATTGAGAGACGGAGCTGTTGCAGCTCTTGCTCCTTCTTCTCCAGGGCACAGAACTTCTCATCTACTGCTCGCTAGGGCGAGAGGGGGCGATCACTCAGAATGGGGGGTAGCAGGACTCTGCAGCCCATCACTCACTGCGTGGGGCACCTCAGCTCTCCCTTCAGAGGACTCCTCTGGAAGGCTGAGCCATGAAGAGCATGTAGAAGACTTGCTCACCCCTGGGGTCAGCCTGGAGCTGCACTGCTGATGGCAGCCCAAAGGTTGAGCCTCAGGGAAAACTGAGACACCACCAACAGACTGTGCCTACCTCCAGAGCAGCATCCCTGTCATTGACTCGCTGCTGCAGTTTCTCCAACATGGCATTCATGGCTGCAGGGCTCTTGTCCAGGCTTTGCTGGCATTGCAGAAGCTCCCTCGATTCCTAGAGGTCAAACACACACACCTCCCTAGCACAACTGTCAGTCCACAACCCCCACAGAGAGCAGCACAGAAGAATCAGGGCTAACTGCCTCCACTCTACATTTGCTCTACTCCCCCCATTAGAGGGTAGTAGAGTCGCAGCACCCGAGGCTGGTTGACCAGCGCCTGCCAGGGCTCACCAGGCATTGGTGTGGGCTGACGTACTCAGATACCCGTGCCTTCTTCCTCATCTTGGGAGCCCAGAAGCATCTCCTTCCTTCCCTCCTTCAAAGGGCGTGCGTGAAAGCTACAGACTGACTTTTGCATTGCCAAATACCAAAGGAAGAGCAAGGGCCCTGACCAGTTATGCTCAGTTTGAATCTTTCTGCATCTCACCTGCAAAAGCTGTTCCTTGCGAGCCAGACGCTGACTCAAATGCTGAACTCTCTCCTCCTGGGCCTGCAGCTCACGGCATTTCTCCCACTCCACAGTCTGGAGCTGCTGAGCCTTGTCCTGCAGCTCTCCCTGCAGCTGCTGTACCACAGCACGCAGCTCCTGCAAGGGAAAAGCACAGACCTTGGCAGTCAGCCCTCCACAGACCTGTAAACAGCAGGCCAACCTGAAGAAGCCAAGAGCAAAAAGGGCTGCGGGAACAGCCAAAGATACTCTGCAATACTACAGCTTTCACATCTCAAAACACACTTCCGCGCTGATGAAGTTTGAACTTATTTCATTTCCCAGGGTATGATGAATAAGAGCAGAGTACTGACTACATCAGTGCTTCTTAAGTCGTGTAAACTCAGAGACTTCCAGGCTAAGTGCTTGTCATACCTGGTTGTGTTTCCTCGTTGCCTCTTTCTGCTGCTCTTCCTCATGCACCATGGTCTCTAGGAGCTGGGTTGCTCTCTTGGCTTCAGCCAGTTGATGCTCTTTCTGGCGCTGTGCTCTTTTCATTTTCTGCACCTCTAGCTTGGTGCAGAAAAGTGTGTTCTGAATATCTAGCAGTGACGTTTGCTGCTCTTGGGACGAAAGTGGGCTCTCTGATATCTAACAAGAGTGGGAAGCAAAGAAACTCAAAGATTCACTTCGCGAGAGGGACTTAAAAATCAGGATCCCTGAGGAATGAAACCTGATATATGTGAGGCTTTCCAGGGACATACCTGCAACTGTCCCAGATGGCTTCTATGTAACATGTCCCGCAGCTTGGCCATTGTCTCATTCTGCCCTTCGATGATACGGTACAGCTCTTCTGTCTACAAGTGAAAGGACAGGAAGCCCAGTCATTGGCAACCAAGCACAAACTGCCCCATCCCAAGCCTTCAGCACGCATTATGACAAATGTCAGCACCACACAAAAGCAAGAGCTTTGCAAGAAATAATTTATTGAGATCCAGGATGCCAAGCAATGGCTTAAACATTCCTCTTCAGTCACTGCCTACAGAGCTAGCACACTTTCCTGTTTTGGCGAGTACCAGCCTGTCCACCCAAAACTATTACCTTACTCTCTTTGCTCTTCAGGGCCTCGTTCAGATTCTGGATTGTACGATCTTGCCTCTGTGATGTTTCTTGGACAGATTTTAATTCAAAATTCAATTCATTCAGCTTTTCCTGTAACAACTGAAAACAGAAATATGTTGTTTTCTTAATCCTGCCTAATGCTGTACATAAACATCCTTAGGACTCCTTCCACTCCTTACTCAAGTCCATACAGCCCAGGTGTTCACCAGACCAAGATCAACGCAGCTCCCTCTAGAGTCTGTAAACACTGTTTGAGCTGGGTGGAGACCGTTGAGTAAACACAAAGCCTTCAGTCCCTCCACAGGACTGTTCCAGTGCTTCTGGTCCCTCCAATGCAGCCCCACGTGCAGGGCGGAGGTTCCAGGCTTGGATTTGGGTTCACAAATCATACTGCCTTCCACACACTCCAGGAGAGTCTTGCTCAGACTTCCCAGCAGTCTTCCCAATTTCTATCATTTGTTTCTGTTCCCTTAAGAGGAAAGGGGCTGCTTCAGCCCCAAAACTTCCCAAGAGGTCTGAAAAAAAGAAAAACCCAACATGGAGAAGCTACACATTCTAGAAACTGTCCCCTTTGCTTCTGAGGTCCTCCAGAGCATTGCAGCTGCCCCTTTACAATCTCCCAGCCCCTTCTCTAACCATCTCCTTTGACCACCCGGGCACTCTTGCAGCAACTGCTCATCTAGGTAATTCTACCTTTGATCAGATCAGTGGCTTATTTAGCCTCAAGTTCTGGCTCCAGCACAAGAGACTCTAGCCAGTGCCAGCATGCCAACAGCACAGCTGCAAACAAAGGGGAACACCTCACTACTCTCCGTGCTTGTTTACAACCTGAGAAACTTTTGCCTTTGACATTTTCACCCTAAAGAGACTACCATCTCAAACAGTTTTAGCACAGTTCCCTGCTTTCACTGTAATGTTCATGACACAGCGCACATTGTGCATTTAAGCAACTACTTGTTAGTATTTCTAAACATGCTGGCTGTTGGCATTCTCAGTCTTGGATGATATGCATCTTACTCGGAACTTATTCAGGACTCAATTTCTTAAGGAGCTGGTGCTGCCACATGATTTCCTCTTGTTGCTCATCAGTTTACACACCTGTCACATCACCTCTTCTCTAAGAGACACTCCCCTAACTTGTTTAAACACTTCCAATTGCATTTAATGGGCCCTCGGCCTCTTTATTCCCGTCAATCTTTGTGGTTCTAGCAGCTTCAATGGCTTACAGCTGTCCCCAGATTTACATAAAGATCCCACCCCAATATTTTTTCCCATTTAACCCCTCTGTTTTCCCAGTGGGTATAATTTACCTTAGAGTTCAAAAGCTTAACTAAGAACATGTACCCCTCGCAATACATGTTAAATTTGATCTGTCTCAAGACAACTCCAATGCGTGTTTCTTTCCTAAGAAAGCCTTTAAATCAAAATGAAAACAGGACCCACTCTGCGCTGATCTCCCTTACTGCTTGAAAAAAGAAGGCAGCTGTCTTAAAAGGCAGGTACCCTTTTCTCCTGCACCAGGCTCAGCCCATGCAAATCCAAGAGACAGAGAAATAGCCCTGTGCGTCTCTCCTTCACCAACTCCCAGAAGGCTCACCAAGCAAGTGGGAAGTTCTTCCAAAATAATGGTTTGCAAAAATAAATACAGAAAATTTACACAGCCCAGCTGCAGAAAAAAAGTAAATGCTTTTAACTCAAGCCGGCAGACAACAGCATCAGCGCACACCCTTGCCAGAACAGAGGTGCAGATGCCTGCCTCTGGGCAGGCCAGGAGGCACCCTCCAATACTAACTACATCAGTCTCACTAGGCACTGAATTTGCTGTCCATGAAGAAATACCTTGTTGGCAGCTTCAAACTGCTGGATTTTGCCCTGCAGCTCTGCAGTATGCAGATCGGACACATGCTCCCCCGCTGCAGGGTCACCTGGAGCCAGCTGCTGACGTTCATCCTGCAAATTCTGAAAATAAAGGAGAGAAATGGCTCAAGTCTTGCACTGGCTGCTTCTTTGCAGCTGTCAGCCCTCATAGACCTTGCAGCATGGGCTTAAACATGCCCCACTGTGCTTTTCTGTCTCCGAAACATCATGCTGCCCGCGCCTCCCTTCACCTAGGTGGCTGGCTGGCACCAGGCAGCTCTCTGCCTGCCCTGCCAAAAGTGCCCTGCCGCCCCGAGGCTCTGGTTGGGCTCCCTGTCTCTCCTTGCTCCCCTACTGTGAACCCAGCAGCTTGTCTGGCTCTAACCGCTGTCTGCCAGCTGATGACGGATCTGCACCCCACACCCAAGCCACATCCCTGAAACCTCCTCTCCTTCCCATGTGCCCTGCAGCAGCTTCAAAAAGCTTCAAAACCAGCACCAAACTCCTTCTTCCCGTGTTCTGCCAAGCTTCTCTGTCTTAATCCAGCCCAAAACCTTCAATTCTTCCTGCCAGCTACCCTCCTGCCATGACCTACCAGCCAACCCTGCTCTGAACCCCTCCACTGGTGATTCTCTGGGCTCTCCTTCACAGTTCCCCACGCTCCGGCACCCACGCCATGTGCAATTCCCTGCAGCTCCACAAAACGTAGCAAATTCAGTGCCACAGCCGAGATTTTTTTCACGACACATACCCATTTACTGAGAATGGAAACAGCCTACTTTCTGACGCGTGGCCTGCCAGACCCTGCTGGCTGAGCACACACTAATCCCTTGTCATCCCTTCTTACTATTTTGCTACTTCCCGCCTAGTGAACTGTTAACTCCTTAGAGCAGCATTCAAACCCAGCCACCCCCCCCTGCCCTTACAGGCCTCGTTAAGCACTCCTGAATATCATCAGCGATACGAGATCGATTGTACCGGTGTCTGTTTTAAGCGGGAGCCCCGGCAAGCGCAGGGTTGCAGTGCAGAGGCTGTGAGAACATGGCAGCGGTTTTCAGAGCGCACAGGGTAGCCCCAGCTCCAGGCAGCACAGCACAGGGAGAACAACGGTCAGCTCTGATTAGCCCTGCCAGACTGAATCCTCTTCTTCAGCAGCCACAGAAACGCTGTCGCTGGGAAAGGCAGGTAGGGCAGGGGAGCTCCCCCAGGCCTGTGCATTGCCTCTCACATACAGAAGCTCCCATACAGAAGCGATGCTTCCCTATCCCCTGATGTTTTGTTAAGATTTTAGTGAAAGCTTAAACAGTCACAGCACGTAATTTCCAATTTGCCCAGCCAGAAGGCTTGAGATCAGACAGGCAGAGCTGTTGGAATCTGTCACACAGCAGCTACTTTGAAATAAGGTCAATGTAAAGAAAACAGAGAGGAGGGGGGAAAAAAAAAAAGAAACGGAAAACACACCTTTCCTCACAATCTGCACATTCCAAAGAAAAATAAGCTGAAAGCCTGCGAAGAGCTAAGAGCAGGGAGGGGAAAGGCAGAGCAAGATCCAGAGTCCAAAGTCCCAAAGCCCAAGCTGCCTCCCCCATGCTTCACCGCAGCCATGTCAGGAGCACAGCTCCCCAGCATTTTACTGACATCAGCATTTTACTGACAATCTCTCTGCAGTACCGCTCCAGCAACGTCAGCACACACTAACCTAGACAGAACACTTGTTTAAAAAAACCAAAGGAATAATAATCACAGCATTATCTAAACCTGCCAAGCTCACATCTGCCCAGAACAGTGGGTAATAGACCGACTGTCAGTAGGGCAACGCTTCCCTCGCTGCCAGCAGCTGCAAGAGCATGTCTGACGAAGGCTTGCTGTGGTGGCATTTTCCTGGGGCTGCAGTGGTGAAGGGGAAGAATTGTTGGTTGGTTCAATAAAATGCCCAAGAAGACAGTATCTACAAGGTCACATGCCCTGACACCAGATTGCTCTCAGTCATTGTATCTAACAGCAGGAAATTTAAAGAACTGCAGTTTCGCAAAAGCAATAAGGGAACTGTGGTACCATATATCCTATATATTCCTTTCACGTTACCAGAAAGGCATTTATGTATACGAATCACTGGACAGCAGTACCTGACTTTTAGTGTTGCTTGTACAGAGAGAAAGATAATTAATTTATACAAGAACAATTTAGTCTACTAGCTGCATCCGACTTCTCATTTTTGCTGTTAAAGCCATCCAAAGGATTAAGCCCTTTCCCTCTTCTGCCAGAACCTGTACCAAAGACCACAACTGCTGCTGCCATGGCAAAAAACAGGTAGTAAAAAATCCTGCAGGATGAATTCCTGGCAGGGACGGTTGGATGGCAGAGGCTGGAGGTTGGAGAAATTCTTCAAATGCAGTTCCCAGACAAGGATGGCAATGTGTGACACAAAGACAAGCTGTAAACGCGCCACATTGATTACGCCACGTTCTGTTAAGAGAAAGCCTATTTTTATGCTATAAATACACCCCCAGCAGTGAAAATTAGTAGCAAGCAACACAGACTACAGGAACAGCATCAATACCCTGCTTCACATCTTCAGTCACTGGCTGCCAGTGCGATGCCTTTGTGCACTAGATGAAAATTAATTTTTATACATTCTTCCCTAGCATCATTTTTTGAGCAGGCTTTTATGGAAAAAGCACACAGCTCTGGGAAACGCCCAAACAGACGGGACAGCAAGCAGCACTGGCTGAATAGGAAGCGTAATTCAGCACAGCCACAGTTTCCATAGCAATAAGCAAGCATTTTTCTAATCCCCCAGGCTACCTAGAGCATTAGACAGCACTAAGGCTGCTAATGGGAATGCAATTAGGCTGACATGGATATTCCTGAATTGAAGCTGACTGAGGCCTTCTATTCATTAAGGAGAGTGGTAAAGGAGTTACAAGTTCAGCTTTTTGACTGCATAGTAATGAAGATTTCATTAAAGCCAGCAAAACAGAGGCAATCTGGAGCTACGTGAGGACTGCCGTCGAAGCAGGTAACAGCACCAGGAAGACCTGTGAAAGCAGGAGCTCTCATTGCCTCTCAGCAACACCTGCCACTAATTGATGAATCTTTTCAAAGGATCAGAAAATAAACCAATTATCTAGAATACCAACCCTAAAGTCTTCCTCTGGCACAAATCCACCTGCAAGGAAAACACCTTTCCCGCAGGGCACGCACGAGAGATCCCTGCGTGGATCTGCATGTTAGGCAAGTTGGAAGTCTAATCTGCAGAGGCAGGGCTCTGGAGGCAGGCGTTCCTAACACTGAACCATTACCCAGGCACAAAGAAAACACATTTGCTGAAAAACACATGCCCAGAAGCTTAAAACACTCCCTTTAGTTGTGAGTAAAAGTCACACTGCCTTCTTAAAGAGAAAGCTGAAGTGAAACTGGTGTTTTCTCAGCAGAAAAAATGACAAAGCACGTGAAGAGCTTAGACCCATCTTGCAGGCTGCACTGACAGGGAGGGCTGATGGAGGGGAGGAAGGTTAATTTCCCAGAACACAAAGAGGAAACAGGCGACGGGAGAATGACAGAGGAGATAGGCAGCACACCTAAAAAGGACCCAGCTGCCTATTCTTAGCCCTGGGTTCAGCGACACGTGGCTATCTGTATTATCTCAGCACAGAAGAATCCCTAGTGGGCTCAGTGTCAGGCCACAGGGATGCTGCTCAATCAAACGGCAGCATAATGACCTCTACCTGTACCCGCAGCGGCATATAATCCTCACAGAGGTCATCCCACAGCTCCTGCAGTTCACAAATCTCCAGGGAAAGGCCCAAAGGAGCTCTGGAAAAGGATTTTCTGTCTGCATTCAGGACGGCAGAACCAGCACACGCTAAGCCAGCAGAAGCGCTGCCATCTGCCAAGTCACGGCTGAGCTTGGGAGGGGGCAAGCTGGACTTCACAGGAATAGGTAGCCTGCTGCCTCGGGGGCTCTGAAGGGGTTTGTAGTCCAAAGTCTTGATCAAACTGAGGGCCAGCTCCAGCCTGTTCCCACTCAGCGAAGAGTTTGGGGTCATGCGGTCATCTGAGAAATCATCACATTTCCCATTCCCTTTCACCCCCTTATCTGCATCTTCATCCTTGTGCTGTGGAGGGCTTGCCTCCACAGTCGTGTCCAGAGACTCAACAGAGGACGCAGGCGTGCCTTCCTCCATGCTCTCCCCATCCACAGGCACTCTGGCACTCGTGGACTCCGCCACATCACACACAGATGACTCCTCGTTGCCCATGCTGGCCGACCACCGGCTGGACAGCCCGCAGGAGATGCTTCTGGCCACCTTTCGTGGCACTTTGCAAATTGCTTCATAGTCAGCATCGGCCACACGCAACGCGGCACAGCCACGGCAGCGCCGCGGGCGGTTACTCACTCCTTCTGAAGCATGGCAGCTGTGTGGCTCCAAGCTGTGCTCCTCTTGATCCGTCCAATACTCATACCCAGAATAAGCAAAGTCCTCCTGAAGGAGGGCAGCATACCGTACATCAGGCAGGTTAGAAAGGTCCACAGTCCCATCCCCAGCTCTGTCGTCTGTGCTAGAGTCTTCATTGTTCCTGCGGTACATGCTTGCAATGCAGAACTTGAGGCGGTCTTTCTCCAGCAGCAGTTTCTGCAGGCGCTCGATGGAGAGGGCTTCGATGCGCGCAATGACGGTGTCGAACCTGTAGATGCGGTCCAGCATGAAGGCACACTTGCTGCAAGCGAACTCGGATTTGCCATCCCGGCACAGCTCCCTGCCCAGGACGTGGGAGAGCAGCACCTGGAGGTTCAGCTTGGCTGCTGTGTGGAAGATCCATCGCCGCTGGTTGCCACACAGCTCCCGGGCGCAGATCCGGCAGGTTTCCTTCATCCTCCCTCCTGACCACCACCCAAACCTCCTTCTGGGGGCTCTCAAGACGCCTTCCTGAGGCCTCTACCGCTCACTCAGCACATCTCCTAGGGTACAGCTCCCTCAAGCCCTAAGCCCACCGGCACTTTTCACCCCACTAACCCCCCCCTTTTGAGGGAGGTGACACGCCAGGACCCCTGATACTACAGAAACATCCCACCCCACAACATCTCCTTCACGTCTCAGCCC